AGAGAGAGAGAGAGAGAGAGAGAGGGGGAGGAAAGGTTCAAACAAAAACCCATGTGATTTACGAGAACGCGATAACAACTTATTAACCTCATATTGTGATAACAATTAAAATTAAAAGATTTTTGAAATTAAAATTGAAATTTAAAACGATTCAAAAAAAATTTGAGATTCGAAAGGGTAATAACGGAAATCAAAATCATACAATTTATCACAACGATTACGGGATAAATCGACTAAACGATTTGATGTGATGTGGTTGTGATAATCATGTGATATCACTATCATAATAGCGCACTCGATTTGATCATGATTTCGATCGGTTAGGGTTAGACAATCACACATTTATCACAACAATTACTCATGGTTTCGATAGGCTAGGATACGACATCACACATTTATCACAACGATTACGGTGAAATCCACTAAACGATTTAGTGTGATAATCATGTGATATCACTATTATAACATCACTTGCGTACTCAATTTGATCATGGTTTCGATCGGTTAAGGTTAGACAATCAATTTGATCATATCAATTATGAGAACAAACACTAGAGCAGAACAACTTTAAAGATAACTGTCATTTTTACAACATTTAGATTAACGTCAACCATCAAAAGTTCCATCATTTAAACCCTTTTGGGGCAACTTAACTTGTAAGACGTTGGGTTTGCTCTTCAATGGTGGCCAACCATGGTTTTCAGTGTGTCAATTTTAAGGGCTTGTGGAATTAGTTGATGTACGTGTATACTGGTTCGATTTTCTCTTTTTTTGGATTATACTCTGTCTAGAAAATGAAAGCACATAGTCTAATTAGGGGAAATGTAACATTCTCAAGTCTTTGTTTGTTTCTTGCATTTTAATAACAAATAAAAAAAATGTAATGTTAAATTAAGTGATAATCTTTTTTTTTTTTGAACTTGTGTGCCAATGTGGCGAACATACTTTGAGGGGGCAAATTGTTGTTACATGAAAAATGAAGGGGTTATGTGAAAGATTGTCGATCGTTAAAAGGAGGTGAAAACCCTAAAGAGGCGTTTGGTTCGTCGGAATCCGCTGGAATCTGATGGAATTGCAATGGTCAATTCCCTTAACCAAATTTCATTCCAATGTTTAGTTACCCACGAAATGGAACTAAATTCCAAATATTCTCTCATTTAAGGATTTCATCATTCCTTCATAAAAATGATGGAATTGAAATCCATTTCATCCAAAATTGTGTAAATGACAAAAATACTCTCATTAAGCTTTTAATAACCCTAACCGCTCCATACCGGTTTTTCTCACCTTCATTTCCATACCGATTTCAATGATGATTCCGGGACAAAGACGATAATCTTCATCTGCACTCTGAGAACGGTGGCTCATCGCCTCTGCATCATCAACGATACGATATGATGGCTCATCGCCTCTGCATCATCATTGACGAAGACGATATCCTTCATTTGCACTCCGACGAAGACGATATCCTTCATTCTGATTATTCTTCCCGTGGTTACACAATGAATTCTATGAGAAAACAATAGACGCCATTGGTTGTGTACCAACAAAGAATATATATATATATATATATATATATATATATATATATGAGTGTGTGTATGTGCGCGTGTTTGTGTATTTTTTTCCTCATGAAATATTAACTTTATTGTTATTTGTGATTAAAAAAATTTTAAAAAATCAAAAAAAAATATTTTTATCATTTTTTTATTATTCTATTTCAATTTTATTAAGGACCAAACAAACATATTCCATTTCATAGTACGGATTACATTTCATTTCTATATACCAAACAATTGATCAAATATCATTTCTATATACCAAAATTTTGATCTATGGTAACATTCCGTTCCAATTCGTTACGACTTCCAATTCTTTTTACGGATTCGATTCCTTCACCCCAAACGCAAGAAAGGGTTTAAGACTACTTGATCTCATCAGAGCGGTACCGGAAAGGGATGAAAGTGGCGTCAACAACGGCGATGGTAGTGGGAGAGAAGCACGACGGAAACAGCCACCATCAGCGATATCTGGTTGCAGGAGGCTCCGGTGTGCTTTGCTTTTTTCACTTGCCTAGCCCACCATTCTTCGCCGGAATCCCGCCGGATAACGGCGATGAAGACTGCCCCCTTTCGCAGTCCCGCATTTGACGTGCGATTTGGCAATGCTGGTTTCGCGGGCTTTCTAAACCTTTAGATAACAAAACTAAACTCCCCAGTGCGGCCTATTTTTAAATATGATTTACGTAAATTTTCTTAGGTTATTCCGTAGCTGTGAAAAATGAAATTGAATCTGAGACTCGCCAAATTTCTACAAATCAAAGGTTTGCTTATTGGTGGATTAGGTTTTTTTTGCTTGTTCATTGTTCATTATAGATGCTCTCTAATTTATTTGTCTACCAAAAAGAGTTGTTTTATTTGATTATTGGGTAAAAGTAATGTAAATATGTAAGTGGATTATGGCAAAAATTGTGTTGGCTTAGCTTTGGGTGAACATGGAGGTGTCGGAATTTCTGAGTGGCAGTGATTTGAATGTCGGAGATCTTCCGGTTTCATTTACTGCAGCTGACTGCTTTCTCAATGGCTACTTGTTTTGCTGTATGCAATTTCTCTTGTGATGTATTTTATATATATATATATGATTGAGAAACATGTAAACTTTTTGTTAAATCATTTTGAATGAAATTGATTCAGCTATAAAGATCCCATCAGTTTCATTTTGTTATCTTCTGGGTTCAAAATTTGAATTGTAGGGTTACTTGGAGTTTCGTTGGGTTTTAGGCATTATGATATATGCTCAACTCATTTCTGTAAACACTTTAGAGATCAAACAGAGTTCTTAGTTCAGTGGCATGCATATTTTTCTGAATTAGTGATGGGTGACTGGTCTTCAGCTAAGGTTCAATCATGATCATCTGTTTATAAAGTATAAAGTGTTCATATCTAAAACTAGTTTTGGCACAGAGAAATTGACAAACCTTGAATTTTATTCTCATTATGAATAAGAAACATACATTGGGGAATCTTTGACACCACATTTGACAGACGATGCTGTCGACTCATCCCTGCACCTCCAAAAAGTACACAGATAACTAACTTTTGAGTATCTTTAGGACGCTAGAGTTGCATAGACTAAGAAAAGACACCGCCACACCAAGCCACCAAGCCTTTTTGGTGTTCTTTTTTAGGGGGGCTGTCTAAAAGAGTCCAGGATAGATTTCCTGGACCTTTAGTTTAGGTATCCAATCCCATGGGCCGTCCAAAATGCGCCCATGGAGTTGGTCTATATTATCACTATATTACATTATAGTCACTTACTATCGTATACCATACTTGAATATCGTAGCTACTGTTAATGTAAAGAACAAGAAAAGGGAACTTTGAAGTTATGAGGTTTAGAACTGCCTTCCGGTGTAGGTCTGTCCAAAAGTCCAGTTAGGAGGAGTGACATTGTTAGAAATCAATGTTCTGCCATTGCTTGTTGTGACTTTGAAGGATAGAGCTTGACCATCAAGAAAAGAATTGCTTTGCCAGTTTTGACCCCAATTGCGAGACATTGGTTGCCAATTCCTGCTTTTAGAGCCCTTGATAGAGACCGATATAACGTCACCGGCACCACCTACGTTGGTCAGTAGCACCAGGTTGAAGTATGAGTGACCATTGATTGTGAACCTCACTCCACCTCTCTTCTTGCAAGCAACCCTGCCAAATTTGATATTAAAACACGATTTAGGACTTCTAGATGGCTAGAATATGGTCAGTTTTATTTTGTTGAAAAGGAAGCTACCTTCTATATTGAACTGGTATTATTCCAGCTTTGTATTGACCGATTCGCAAGAAGATCGGTTGAGCAAGATCAAAGTGTTGTTGGGGAGGATTACACCACCCTCCAGCGTTGTTTGGCAGTGCGCTGTTTGGCGGGCAGAAGTTTGTAGCTGTGACTATGATGGAACCTGGACGGCACCATCTGCGATCATTTACACATTTGATCTCAAAGCAAGCTCCACAGGCAAGTCCATTGTTGAACAGCGCAGTACTCAATGCAGCTGTGTTGGTGCCATATCCTTGGCTATACAAATTTCCATACCCACATGCTCCCCCTACACATGAATATAAAACATCAGTATAAAGATGGTATACAACTTTATAGAAGCTTTTTAGAGATGCATACAAGCTGCAAAGTGCAAACCCTCATGGGCCCATTGGAGTTGGGACCCTAGGGTGCACCCTTCTGCAACCTCTTTATTTGCTTTTTTTGAATCATTAGATTAGATGACATGACGTTACTTACCCATTGTACCAGAAGCATCAGAACCTCCATAGAAGGTAGCATGGGCATTAGACCATCCACCACCTCTGCTATAAGCAGTTGGACATGTCATGGAGGTGACTGTTAGAACCAACAAGATTTCAAGAAACCTCATTATAGACCTGCAAAAAGAGATCTTCCCAGTTTTGACCCTTTGTGAGCTCAAAACTTGAAAAGTGATTATAGAATGTTGAGAAGGTGTGAAGATGAAAGTGGGCAATGACACCCCTTTATATAAACAATGGGTGGGAGAGAAAACTGTAATGGCAGTTAAAGCTTTAACCATATGACAGCTTGTAATGAATATAAAATATATTTACCTCTCCTTTTTTCACATGCTTCATGTTAATGGCGAATCAAATTCTATGGGAAGAGTGATGAAAAAGGCAACTACAAAAGTAAGCTCATCCCACTTACACTTAGAAGCATAGACCAAAAAATAATCAACAAGATCTCTTCCTGTGGTTTCAAGTTGTATTATATAAAATATGTCTACAAGTTGTACAATAATATGGTCTTGACTGCAAGTAACCCTAAAAAGTATGTGACGCTTGTGGCCTACTATCATCTTAGATACATTATCCATTCTTTGGTCTACATACATTGCACTCCTAAACTCTACCTTCGAATGTGATATACTAACTTAGCATGGTTTCATTTATAATGCGGAAATTTGTAATTTTACAGGGATTTGAAGCTTATCTCGATGGGATAACATGCGATGACAATATGGAGAAGAAATACATGTATGATTAGAAAAATGTGATGGAAGGAATTAAAGAATGGTGAAGATGGAAATGCATTGACTCTATTCGAGTGTTTGGTAAGGCATGGAGGTACTTTGGAGGTACACTTTGGTTTCTAGAGATTAGCAAATACAAATGGCATTAATGATTGGGTGATTAGAATAACACCCAAATGATGCAAACTAAAACCCTGCACATGAAAACCCCATTTGTGGCATGTGACCCTTTTAATTGCAACTGAGATTGGAGGTCCCATTGACTTTCTTCATTCTCTTTCAGGTAGAAGCAACTAGTCAAGGAATCACATGGTCACTGGGAATTGGTAATTTCTAATCCTTCAAGTGGATGCAGACCCAATGCTTGTCATTCATATATGAATTTGAAGTTCATTTCAATCTATGTATGCGTAGATAAGGTGCCATTATGCGACTTTTTGATGTTAATATCGATAGTTATCATAGGTGTACTCAATAAAATGCAACTTTTTTAGTCTTGGAAGTAAAAGCAACACCTAGCTTGTGAAGATATTGTAGAAGTATTGTTCCTTTTCGGAAGATTGACAGAATATGATAGAAAACGGTTTTATAAAGGTCCGAATTGGTTCCAATTGATCATACACAGCTGAACCATAAGGTGTTGGACCTTGATGATGGAAAACGAGCCAAGATAATAAATTGAAGTGTGCAAATTAAGACCGTGCTCCATGCACACGGCTGCTATGCAATGTGACCGATAAGAACACCTCATTTTGTGGGATCAAATAGTTGATGCTCAACGATAGGGGCGGGCATAGGTTATGGTGCAACGTTTTATCGTCATATCTTGATCGGAAGAAGATTATAAGCTTTAATTTGTGCTCTTTTTAAGATATATGAAAAGTTTATCGGGTTTAAAACGCTTACCAACAATTCGTTTTGATAACTGAGAATGTTAAAGTAAGCACTTACCGATTAGAGTGATGTCTGTTATAGGTAAGTACTTACCGAGTAAGCGTTTAACATTATAAAAAATTTGTGTTTCAAGCAAAAATGTTTTTTTTATAAATATTTTTAATAGATTTTGTTTAATGTTGAATATACCAAGTATTTAGATTAACCTATTTTTATATATTTATTGTAAAGTTTCTTTTGGATGATTTTGTAGTTGATAAGGTACCACGTTTTCTAATCATATTCTTAACGTTTTACCTAGTATGATCAAGTTAAGTTTTCTATTTAATTATTATTTAGTTATTAATTTATAACTATTAATTATAATCAATCATATTTTGTTTATTAATTTTTATAAATATTTGCTAATTAACTATTTTTAGTTATATTATTTAATTAAATGTTGTTTATTTATTATAATTATTTTTATTTATTTTTAATCATTTTAATTATTATTATTATCATCATCCATTTTTGATTTGTTATTTTTATCTATACTATATTATAAAATATTTGACAAAAATTCTTAAAAGCCATTTTTATGTATAAAGTATTATTTATTAATGCATGTTACTTAAAACTCAAGATTACAAGTAGATTATGCGTAAGTACAACTTATTAAAACTTCATATCTGAATTCGTGTAATTAACTGCAGATAAACATAACCAAATACAGGATAAACATCTCATTTTAAATATAAAAAATCTAAAATATAATTAGGATAATCATTGAGTTATAACAGAATACTTAATTATTATCTTTATGAAATGTTATATTATTAAACCAAAAATAAATTATTTCATTATTAAACTTAAACTAAATTATAATATAAATAAATAAATTATATTAAAAAATGAAAACTTTTAAATAATTGATTTGATATTAACATTAATATTTTTTTTCAAAATTTTATGATATGTTAACATTTATGTTTTATTAAAAAATAAAATCATTATTGCTTTCTTAAAAACGCATAAAATTGTATTATAACATCAACAGAGACAAAGAATAAAATAGAACATTAAAATCGAGATGTATTTCGTTGCATTGCACGAGTACGTTTCTAGTATAATTTAATGGATTTAGTTGGGGGGGGGGGGGACCAAATACAATAAATTTTAAAAATATATGCAAGTTACATGAAGATAAAATTATATTTTAGAGTAAATACAAATTTCGTACATGTGATTATATCAATATTTGGATTGGGTACCCTAACCGAAACAATTACATGCATTGTTACTATAATTTCTTTCTCTTATGAATTGGGTTGTTTGCTTTAACGTTGCTAATCTTAGCTCCGATAAATCAAGGGTCTTTTGGTCTTTTTATTGTTTTCTTTAAAAAAAAAATTCTATAAAGAACTCATGGATGCTTTCACCGGTGTCCCGATGTTGATCCAGACTTTGCAACCACTTCTAATAGGCACGGACTAGACCAGAATCATTCTCAACGAGTCCATAAGAAGCTATCTCATTTTCTTTATCGGGTTCGGGTAGAGATCAAAAATCTTGAGTGACCGATCTGACCTTCAAATCTTTGAAGATGTGCTACCACCGATAGGAAACGCAAGCAACAAAGGTGATCTCAGCCGTTCCTATGGCAAAGGCATCAAGTGCAAACCACCTTCAAATCGTTTCCCCAAACTTCACATCCCATAGTCCCATAGTTACAGGTCCGATGTGAATACCATTGTATTGGAATAATTTGCGACATCCCTCAATTTATCTAAAAAGAAAGAAAAATGTGGCTGTCGGAATAAAGACAATTGAAGAAGTTTCGAGTTTGGAGCTGAGATTTATAAAATAGAAACAAAATACACAACGCAGTATACACAAAAAGAATCCAAAAAAAGGAATCCGTTGAGTTTGGGGTTGAGAAGTTTCGGTGTTTGTATTAATGTCTTGCAAATGGTGATGGTTTAATGATGGGTTCATGGCCATTCATCTTTATTGACAACTGTATCTTGTTCGCTTCTCTTTCAACTCTTGTGTTGAAAGGAAAGACCCATATTCGTAGGATCTTATGAGAATAGGAGTTAAGCTTAAAAGCTTAAGAAGAGATTCAGACTCTTTGATCACTTTTAATCTTACCCATCAATTGCATTCATCACAGCAATTGATCTGGTACATCACATTAGTGTTGATCTTCAATTATGATTGATCCAAGGGTGGAAATTCATTCTTCATTCTTATTGGAACCCAACCCTGTTCTGAAATGGGGTTGTTTGGAGGATGAAGAAGACGAGGGCGGTTGAAGATGAAGATTACACGACCACAATATATTATATTAGTAATATAATCTTTTTTATTAAGAAATGAGAGAAAAAAGATAAAAGTTCAAAATGAAAAAGACCATATTGCCCCTGACTTAACGGAGTTAAGATAAATAGAGTTAGGGACCCAATTAGTAACAAAGTGAATACATGTAATTGTTTTGTTTAGGGACAAATCCCTAGTTTTGATATAACCACATGGACGAAATTTGTAATTTACCCTATATTTTATGAAAATATATATATATTTAATTAATGGTTTATTTTAATATAGTATATAATATAAGAACTAAGTAATTTTGGCATTATGTCTTTTTAGGTTATTTTACATTTGGTATTTAGCTTCTTAGCTAATTTATGCTAATGGAAGTAGGGATGGCAATGGGTCAGGTTGAATTGGGTTCGGGTTCAACCCATTTATTAAACATGTTAAAAATCTCAACCCAACCCATTTAATTAAATGGGTTGAGATTTTTCAACCCAACCCAACTTGTTACATAAATGGGTTGACAACGGGTTGACCTGTTTACTATTTTCATAACCAACCTGTTAAATAAATGAGTTGAACTTGGGTTGACCCATTTAATTTTAAAATCTTAAATAAAAAAAGGACTAGACTATTTAATTTTTTTTGAATAAAACACACCCACATATACAAACAAATTGTTCAAAGTTTGAATAAAACACAACCACAACAAATATATTATACATAATAAGTTGAATTGGACTTTGAAGACGATAATGGAGTAATAGACTAAAAGGTTTTCTTAGGGTTTCATGATGATTAAGAGTAATGGAGGCGATTGGAATTTAGGGTTTCATCTCACGACAGTATGGATTTTTAATTAAAAATAAAACAAAATTAAAAATTAGTATATTAGATATAATATTAAGAATAAAAAAAATTATATAATATTTTAAATGAGTTGAAAACGGGTCGAAAAATTCAACCCAAACCAACCCATTTATTTAAATAAGTTAGACGGGTTGACCCATTTATTTAAATGGATTGAAAATCTCAACCCAACCTGCTAATTTTGGGTTGGCTTCAGGTTGGGTCATTTTTTGCCGCCCCTAAATGGAACCAATTCATTAGCCAACTTATCAACTATTAACTAGCTTATCAGTCAATAGCTAGTCAATTACATAGTTTACCAAACATGGTCATAAAACATCTCCTACAGATTCTCTAAAATAGAAAACCAAAAGTTAAAATCTCTAAACTAAGTTACATTCAACTCCAACATATTCTTTATTTTAGAGATTTCATCATCAGTTATATTACCAAGAACAAAAGAAATTGTAACCAAGGTTTAGGGACCGTTTACACACACACTTAAATGGTAAACTCTCACAGGGTAAGATTGAAAACTATCATATATTCAAACTCGTGCTTTTTTCTACCAAACCAAACCATAAGGGGCATTTCATAGCCATACATACATATTACACACACCAATATAAATGGTCACCACTTCACCTTCTACCAAACTAAAAACCAAGGTAGAAAGGCAACCACACTAACCACATCCTTTTTGCTTCATCCTATTCACATATCACAAACAAACATGTCGAAATCCGGCTCTACGAAACCAAGCTTCTATCTTTATCTTCGGATGCCGGCTTAAGTGGACGAGGAAGAGGGAGACTCGGTTCGGATACAGACCGTGAGCGTGCCACAGGTACAGGTACAGGTGCCGGCGTCATCTCTTGTGGTTGGTTAGGGTTAGGGTTTGGGTTTGGAGAGTAAGTGAAAGAAAGGTCCCTATTAGAAGCAAGTGCCAAGAGTTCTTTCTCTTCAAGCCCTTTCGGAGGGCCTAAGCTACAACGGTCGGGCGTGTGTTTGGCTAAAGCATCTTTGAATTTCTTGATCTGCATCATCATGTTATTTTGTCCTTAGACTAGTGTCTTTTAGCATTTACAGTAATAAACAAACAGAAACAACCTCTTTACCCCTTAGAGAAAAGGACCCATTTTACACGGGATTTACTGGGTCGTTTGGTTTGGTTACGTTTACGAATAGAAAACGAAATGAAAAAGAGGTAAGAATACGAACCGTGGCATTGGTACAACTAAAGCTACAAAGACGACCATGGGCTCCTCTGTAGAAACGAAAGAACGGAAGGACGTGAACGTTGAGGCTATAACACATGGATTTATGATCCTCGTGGTTCACAAGTAAAAACTGTACATCCGGGTTCATCTCGGCCAATTGACATAACTACAATCACCAAAAACCAACATCACAAATATCTCTTAGGGCCGTTTACCCAAATACTTACCCGGTAAACACTTACCGGTAGGAGTCTAACACTATAATCTATTTTACCAGATAAGATTGTAGTATATTAAACGGTATTGTATGCAACAATTTACCCGATAAATGTTTACCAGGGTAATAATCCTCACCATCACTTACCGGTTAAGATTTTCAGCCCTTGCCATGTGCATCAGGTGAGAAAAGTTACCTGATCCGCGCTTACCGGGTAAGTATTTATCCAAACACTCAAAAGTGCTTATTACCGATGTCGCACAGAAATAAATCAATAAGTGATTTTCATAAGCAATCTCAAACACCCGTAGAAGAAACGATCAGAATTTAGACCTTGGGATGAAGAGCTTTGCAGCCTCCACAACCAGGAGAAAAGAAACCGACGACCACCAACTTATCGCCGGCGTTCAAAAGAGACTCCACAAGCTCCTCTGCATCCGTCACCTCCTTCATATTCGGTTTAATCCCTTTCTCCCACCATTTCACAGATTTCCCAATCCCATTACTCATCTGTATATATTTCAACAATCAAAATCACAAAATAAATTCAACAAAAAATAGATTTAATCAACAACACAGACCTTAACATTCACTCTTGGGTCGAAAATTTCACCGCCGGCTGATGATCGGACGGTCAAAGATGCTCTCAGACTTGAAAACGCCGGCATCTTAATCATCACCGGCGAAAGTTTTTTCAAATTTTCACGTGAGTAATCATGATTGGAGGCTGAAAACCTATAGTTGCTACTAATCTTCCCTATAATCTCAGCCATTTTACCCCCAAAATCAAAACTTGTTGAAGATTCAGATAAAGGGGGTTTTTGGGAGTCAATGTTTATGATACGATACGTGTAAGAATAAGAAGCTTTTGGGAATTCGAAATTTGGGATTGAAGAAATATTTGTGGGGACGTTGCTTTTTTGAATTAACTTAAAACTTTTCGTAGAATCTTGCTTTTTCTCCGGTGGCATGTCGACATGATCCGACGGCACTACCTCACGCCACGCAATTTGAGGTTATAATTTTCTTTTTTGACCCTCGTACTTTTCAAGATTAGCTTCTCAAAGTCCCTCGACTCTATTCCTTATTCGCAAAGCAGATAAAAGTGATGATTGTATTCTCAATTAAGATGATTTTTGAGTCACACACTTATATTATGATATTTATCTTGTTTTATTAGAATTCAAGCACATGTTACAGGCTATACCCTTTTAAAGATTTTTTTTATTAGTCTGGATATCCAACCCACTATGCGAACCGACTAATTCCAGGACGACTACCTGCTTTGTAAATATCCTAGAGCCACCGCATTTGAATCTCTGTGACCACAAGAGGATTTTTATTTCTTCTTGGATTTGAACATAAGACCCGCAAGTACTCTTGAGCTTTGGAGCTTAAGCTTAATCCAATCAGACACCACCTTTTTAAAGATTTTTGTTTCATAAGTTAAAGGTTTTTAGAAAACAGACTTAGATATTATATGTCTATTAGGTAAAGAAAAGTCTATTTATATCTCCATCTTTAAAAATACATGAAATTTATAGAATCTTTTTGATTTATTTTGATAACTCATTCCCTATGTTTCATGTGACGAGAGTGGGCAAGAAAAGAAGGTTTGATCCATATCTTCCAAGAATTGAAAATCAAATGGCTTATCCAAGGGGGCAAGTTGCAAGAATTTAAAAATATCACACAAGAAAAGCAACAGCCGCAAAGTATAGGGAGCAGAATGTAAAATTCAATTTCTAATTCTAGGGAGAGATGTCACACACGTGGTTCCACAATATAGAAGTTGGAAATATTGTATTTACATAATTGCCCATGGTGATCTCTTTTGGGATATACTCGTGTCATGAAACCATTAAACGGAGGAAAATTACACACTTAGCCTTTGCCATAATTCGTAAATAACGTGCTAATGTGTCGACGGGTATTCTGGATTAAAGGAACTTGTTACTATTCTCACCACACGAGAATTACGGGATTTACTTTTAAAGATAGACAAAAATCCATTATTATAAATTTTTCAATTTTGTCTATATTCATTTACACTAAAAGGATACTTATGTTATGCAACAAAATATATTTTGATTTTAATATTTTATTTTATTATTTATCTCAGTCGATGTTATAATATGGTCTTACGTAATTTTGAAAAAAACGATGATATTTTTATTTTTAAATAAAATATAAATTTAAAAATATCATAAAAATTTAACAAAAATATATCGATGTTAATATCAAATTATCTATTTAAAATTTTTATTTTTTTGTAATTCAATTTTTTTATTACAATTTAATTTAGGCTCAATGATGAAGTAATTTATATTTTGTTTAATAGTATAATTTTTTTATAAATATAATAACTAATTATTTTGTTAGGACTCGATAATTATCCTAATTATATTTTAGATTTTCTATATTTTTAAAATGACATATTTATGCTCTATTTGGTTATATTTATCCACAGTTAGTTACACGAATTCAAATATGAAGCTTTAATAAATTGTACTTATGCATAATTTATTTGTAATCTTGAAAATATATCTCGATACATTGCACGAGTACCCTTCTAAAACCAACTGAAATATAATTAAGTACATAGCAACTCAATTATCGAGTCTTCAACGGTTCAACACTTGATTTATTTCAAACACATCGATACACCTCCCACCAGATTATATTCCGCATAGATACATAAATTCCACACAGATGCAACATCCTGCAAAATACCATATTCCACAGATGATTACTTCTACTGTTCCTAAGCCAAAACATTCACAATTCATCCTAAAAGATGCCCCATGAAAACTTTCTAACATTTTTCTTTCGGGACAAAAATCATAAATTTTAAAAACGGCAAATACTTACGCGCAATCCTCACCTTTGATGAGGTTTGAACCCTTGACCTACGGGAAGGTTGAGCTCTCTCGGTAATAGGCCAATAACCCTTTGGTAGATGGGACAATACTTACTAAACCACCCATATTAAAATTAAAACCCTAAAACCTTCAATTGCCACAATTGTTATGTACTAATGGAATTGAACCATGGACAGATGGGATATTCCACCACCTCCCCACGACCTCGACCTCAACCACTACGCCACAACACTTGTGGTTAAGTAGACACTTATTTCAAGACAAACTAACTAAAGCAGAAATGAGGACACTAAATGCTAAGTTTGTGTGGAGAAACTTACAGTAAGGGACCATGTTCCACCTTTGATTATCACCTTTCTTCCACTCCCACAAGACAATCTTCGTGCCATCGTGCACGCCACCATGGTTCTTGTCACCATTAAATGCATCTACGTTAAGCCGAATGTTGTTCACCATCCTTACTGCCCTATAACCATCGCCCAAGTCCTTGCTTTCGGTCCAAAGAACCGACTCATCGAGTTTATTAGGGTTGTATTCTGTCAGATGAACCTGAGGAACAATTTATAACCAATTTGCGGTTTCAATTACTTCACAATCAAGCATATGCTTTCAGTTGTCAGGGGCAAACAGATTAGCAGGCGACCTAATTAAGGCCTAGGCTTAAGCATGTCTTATTCTACATATTTCGGGTACCAACTACAAGACTGATCTTATACACACATATATAGAGGAAAGTTCCGTTATGAACCCAAAATCGATTAAGAACCCGAAAACCGCGGTCCCTTTTCAGGATGAATGTTCATTGTGAATAACATATTCAGAATGAATATGATGGATTTGGAAGTGTTATTCATCATGAATAACACATACCTATGAATAAATCTCCATGTTTCTGATGAATGTATATATTTATATACATACACATATACATATAGATTGGTATAACCATTACACATATTGTGAAGAATAGCAAAAATCTAAGAAAACAAAGGGGAAGGCAAGCAATTCAAATGATCAAATGGTAATAGAATGGCATACTGGATAAGTTGCACCAATGGAGTGTTTGATGGCTTGTCCAGTGGCTTTGTTGACCAAGGCAAAAGAGGGAAAACCCTCTTCATCCTTCACCCTTGTGCTGTATTTCTCATCTTTGATCCAATGCTGTTTCAAAGTCAAACAATTAGTCAACACAATTGATTGATTGGCTCAAGAAATGAAAAACGAATGAATCAAAGGTACCTGATGAGGATCGGAGGGGTTAGAGGGGGCAAGAATCACTTTTCCCTCACGGATCGTCAAGGAGTAATCGCTTTTCGCCTTGCTATAAACCCTAACTGTGGGTTTATTATCGGTATATCTTTCGGGTATTTTATGGTGATTAGTATGGTGGTGGATAGGTTGCGGTTGCGGTGGTGGTGGTGGGCGGTAATAGTCTGCGGTGTACGGATGATGTGGTGGAGGAGGGTAGACCTCAACGTGGGGGGGAGGGGGGTAAGGTGGTTCTTCATGGTGATGGTGGACGATGTGGTGGTGGCGGTGGTCGACATGAGGAGGCGGAGGGGGGTGATGAAGTGGTGGTCCACCACCGACGTAGGGTGGAGGTGGGTAAGGTGGTTCTTCACGGCGGCGGTGGGTGGTGTGGTTGTGACCGTATGGGTCCATTTCATGAAATCAAAGTTCGTCGGAAAATCCAAACGGGCGTGGTTACTTAAAAATTGGACCCTACTCTGAATGTTGGTAGTTTCTGGAATATGTTGTCAATCACGATTCTATTCTTAACGAGGAAGCAAAAATATAACACGAAACATATATGTGTATTATATTATAAATTATTTGATAAAAACTTTTAAAAATCAATTTTTATGCATAAATTACTGTTTATTAATACATATTACTTAAAACTCAAGGTTGCAAGTAGATTGTGCGTAAATACAACATATTAAAGCTTCATATTTGAATTCGTATAAGTAACTACAGATAAACATAATCAAATACATGATAAACATCTTACTTTAAATATAAAAAATCCAAAATATAATTAGGATAAACATTGAGTTCTAACATAATACTTAATTATTATCTTTATAAAATGTTATATTATCTATATTATCTTATTAAGCATTTGACTAAAACTCTTAAACTCGTTCATCCCTATTCGATTTCATCCCATATCTGAATTCGTGTAACTAACTGCAGATAAACACAATCAAATACAATATAACATCTCATTTTAAATATAAAAAATCTAAAATATAATTAGGATAAT